GTTCCAGAGCTGGGGGATCACCACCAATAAGGCTCTCTCTCTTGTCCCCGCCAACCATACTAAAGATGGAGGTGGGACCAACAGGAGGACCTCCCTGATAGATCTTAGAGCCCGCACTGGTTCGTAGGAGGTTCATGAAGATAGACTGGACTTGAACCATGTAGGTCTTTATAGGTGATAACCCCCACTTTGAATTGTGACTGGAAACTTACCAACGGCCACCACATTCTGACTCAAAAAGTTCCACTGATGAACAGCTCTCACAATCAGGAAGTTCTTCCTAATGTTCAGATGGAATCTCCTTTCTTGCAATTTGAACCTAATGCTCTGAGTCCTAGTCTCCAGGGCAGCAGAAAACAAGCCCACTCCCTCTTCCTTACGATAGCCAAAATGCTTGATTAGACAGGGATACAATTGGGCTCTTCATTGATCTGATTTTCCTGGCATACACACCACATGGGCTATACCATAACTCTTGCATTTTTTCCCCAAGAGACTATAGGAAACATAGATAATAGCAACTATGCCTAATATTTAGTCTCCAGGTTGAGAAATGTCTGGTTGTACCATAGTATTGGACTGAATGATCTAACTCTTGCCAAGAAAAGTAGTACAATAATTGCATATGATCAGTATAGTGTAGGGAATAGCTAGTAAAATGGTATTAAATCGCATATGAAATGCTAACATGTTCAAATGATATATTTGCTTGAAAGAAAAACTTTTAAAAATGGATAAACTTGTATGCTGGAGTTAAAAGCCAAGCTGAATTGTTTCTCTTTTAAAAATTGAGTGCAAAACATTGCAAACACTAACAAGTTCAGTTCTTAAGTCTCATCTAATATAAATTTTCTTTTTGTTTTTGAGGTTTAATCTTACTCTGATTCCCAAACATCATGAGTTTTTAACATCTGGAGCAGCAGATGTGCAAATTAATAAGGTGGTGGCTTTCCTAGTGGTTGGGTAATGCTGAATCTGGTCTTATTTCTTCATGATGGAAGAAATTAAACTCTAAAATGTCTTTGTTTCGCTTAGGATGTACTGCAGTGATTAGTATGCACGGAGCAGAACAAAAGTGTTGTTAGATTTAGTTTCGTGTGATAATAAAAACATGTGCTTTCACTTTTTTTAACTTTGATAACTCCCTAGATAAAGTTTTCCCCCGACATGGGCATTTGCAACAAGTTGTTTTGTTCAGTTGCTTAAATTGTGCCAGTTTTTGCATCTTTCTTTCTGCTGTTCTTTGCTTGACTGCCCACATGTTTTGGGCCTTGGACATTCAGTGTCCAAGTTGGTTCTGATAAGTTTGCAACTCCACTTTTTTGTCTGATTTCTGTGAAGAGGAGAACTACAAAAGGGAGGCAAGCAGAGTACCGAATGAGCACTAGAATGGTGGGAGGGAAGAACTCCCAAGAAAGAAAGAGTGGTGGGAAAGCAAAAGTAGAGAATGGAATCAATATATATATATATATATTAGCAGAGGCAGAGGTGGTGCAGGTTTAATAAATATTTTGGTGTGGGGTGGAAGACTGGTGGAAAAGGAGAAAAATTGTTATGGGAAATAAATGTTAAAGACACAGTTGTGTTCGTCAGGGTCGGTGCGCAAAGGGGTCTTGTACCACCTTTGAGATGGAGAAAAAAGACTGATGGCTACTTCATCAGATGCATAGAGTGAAGTGCGAAGGAACAGACCTTATAGCTATGAATAAACAGGTTATATATGTGAATATCTATTGAAATGCAAAACTTCTGGGAATGGTGATATCTTGACAAGTTCAGTATTTGATCCTATGACCATGGTTAAGTAGGTTTAAGTCTGTGAAAGCTATGCCACTGACTTCTTGCTCTTGGTTGATATCAATAGTGCTATAAGATCCCTTTGTTACACGAAAAAGTTTACTAGCCAAGCAAAGCTGGTACTTTTGTTAGCAGTGTTATAGTTCAGCCCATGGTTGTGGCTGATACCGATGTAAATGGGGAAGTGGATCATGTAAACTCTGGGCCAGCGAGCCAACATGAGATTTTAAGTCCTGCAAATGATCAGTCTGTGTCTCCAGCAGTTAATGAAGGTCACATTCCAGAGATGTGCTGAGATGGTGCAGAAGAGTCGTTCTCTAGCTAAAGGAGTTCAGAGACTAAAATTCCAGGTTGAGAGAATAATAAGTTGCAAGATAATGAGATTGTTGATAGGAGACTCAGTTTTCGTAAACTTCATGCTGCTCAACAGAATCTCCAAAGGGCACAGCTCTTGTTGGAGAAGAGACCCATATCAGGAAGTCGTGGGAGAAGGCATGATTTCATGTGTATATTAGAGAGGCTGGGGGGATTTTCCAGCCAGTCTGGTCAACGTTGGTAATTGAGGCAATGGCTCTTGTCAAGTCCTAGTCAAGCTTTCTGAGGGAATTCTGGTTCCATGTCTTTGCTCCTGTTTCATGCCAAGTTTGAAGGGTTGTTCCTGGATTCTTCTATTGGGTTCTATGCTGTCTTGTTCTTCCTGGTTTTTTTGTATTCCTGTGCTGGATGTCCTGTTGCTTTGGGATTTTGGATTACCTTGAATTTTACGGAGTATTTTATACATATAGACCTTGAAGTTTTTACTATTTTTGCTACAGTTTTTTAAAATATAATCTTTTATAAACTGCTTTGTTGATTTAACTTGGACTGGAGTTTGGTGGTTAAGTACAGAGGTGTTTCCTGGTCTGAAGTGCATCAAGCAGCTCAAAAGATAAAACAAAATGGAGAACATGCAAAGATATGCAAGGCGCAGTTATAAGAATGAAGCAACAATGGCAGTAAGACATTGGTTAGCTGTAAGGCACAGAATTTAGCAGTGAAATGTGCACAGTTTTAAAAGGAAATACTTAAATAGGTATCAGTGGGAAACCTGATTTAATTCATTCTTTTTAATTAGTTGATTTACATCAACTCATACTGCCTTACAGGTCTATGTTATTTTATATCTAGGGCATGCACCACAAGTACTCTGGTTTCTGCCAGACTACTTCCCTTTGTCTCCTTTGGGAGTAGGGGGAACGTGGCCAAAAGACATTTTTAGAAGGGGGCTTGCTTGTTCTTTGGCTTCTAAAACCTGTCAGCCCGTTTAATTGTCCCCGAGCTGCTCAGTCCTCTTGGGGGCGGACTGGAATAGTGGGGGAATGCTGTGTGAGTCCAGGAAGATTTAGTGCACTATCTTCATTATGTAACCTGTTGGATTCCTATGTGGGAATGGAATATGAGTGCAGAAAGGTGCCAGTAGGGGAAATAGAGAGCTGAGGGAAATGGACCAAAACTGGGAGCAAAACCAAAACTAACAAAATGAATTTCAACCAGGAGAAATGTAAGGAACTTCTTAGCCAGAAAAAAATGAAATACACAGATATTATGTAACCTATTAGATTACAACATAGGAGTAGAATATGAGTGAAGAAAGGTGCAAGTAGGGGAACTAGGGAGCTGAAGGAAATGGACCAAAACTGGGAACTGAGCCAAAACCAGCAAAATGAATTTCAACAGAGAGAATGTAAGGTATTACACTTAGGCAGAGAAAAAAATTAAATGCACAGATATGGTATGGGTGACACCTGATCTGAAAACAGTGTATGTGAAAGAGATGTAGCAGTCTTATAGTAGATTACAAGCTGAACTTGAATCAACAATGTGATGTTGTAGTTTTAAAAACCTGTGCAATTCTAGGCTGCATCAATGAGAAGAATAGTAACTAGATTGAGACATAATAGTGCCACGGTTTTCTGCTTTGACCAGACCACACCTGGAATATAGTGACCATTTCTGGATAACTCAATTCAAGAAGATATTGACAAGTTGAACATACCCATAGGAGAGTGACCAAAATGGCAAAAGGCCAGGAAACCATGCCCTGAGAGGAGTGTTTTAGCAAATAGGGTATGTTTAGCCTAGAGAGGGAGCCCTGGGTGGTGCAGTGGGTTAAACTGCTGAGCTGCTGAACTTGCTGACCTAAAGGTTGCCGGTTCAAATCTGGGGAGCATGATGAGCTCCTACTGTTAGCCCCACCTTCTTCTGCCTACCTAGCAGTTCAAAAACATTCAAATGTGAGTAGATCAATAGGTACCGTTCCAGAAGGAAGGTAACTGCGCTCTATGCAGTCATGCCAGCCCCATGACCTTGGACGTCATGAACAACATCAGCTGCTTGGTTTAGAAATGGAGATGAGCACCAGCCCCCAGAGTTGGACACAACTGGATTTAATGTCAATTGAAAACCTTTACCTTTACCTTAGCCTAGAGAAGTGAAGGTGATGTGAGCCTTGTTTAAACATTTAAAGGATGCTATGTTGAAGATGGAGCAAGCTTGTTTTCTGCTGCTTCAGAGCCGAGGACACAGAGCAATGGATCAGGATTTCACCTAAACATTAGGAACAATTTCCTGATGGTAAGAACTGTTCATCAGTGAAATATGCTGCCTTGGGAGTAGGATGGAATTGCCTTCTTCGAAGGCTTTAAAACAGAGGTAGCTGGTCATCTGTTGGGGGCGTGTTGAGCATGTGTTTATTAGTAATAGGGCTTCGGATCAATAGCCCATGTGTTTCTTCCAACTCTGTGATTCTATAAAAAAAGAAGTAGGTTCTGAACTAACCTTTCCTTTCCTTCTTTAAATGTATTCATGTCTCCTTCCATCAAAAAGTGGAAGGGTATCATCCTGTATATGGCATTTAGGTCATGACTTTTTCTTTTCTTCAGATAGCATTATTATTATTATTATTATTATTATTATTATTATTAATAATAATAATAATATTTATTTACTTTTATCCTATTATTATTAATATTTATTTACTTTTTAATCCCATGGATGGGATTCAAAGTGGTGGAGCTTTGCTAGTGAGTTTTGAGCTAAAGCTGAATGAGTAGGTCTGGGTTAGGTTTAGGGTTAGGGTTAGCTGAAAGTTTCATTTTGTGTATACTGTGTGAAAATGCTTGCCTGCCACTATGTGTTTTATTTTATTTGTCTGTTTTCTTTAGCTCTTCAAGTTCTGGAAATGTAGGAGACCGTGTCTTGGCACAGTTATTAACAGAAATGGATGGGATTGAACAGCTAAAGGATGTGACCATCTTGGCAGCTACAAACAGACCAGATATGATAGACAAGGTAAGAGATGACGATCTTCTTTGCTATTCATGTATAAGAATCCAACTTTCCTTCTAGAGATTACATTTAATAAGAAATAGAAATGTCAACAAAAGTACTGGATATTTAAAAGAATGGGCAAGGGACCACTTCTATTATTGTTACAATTTGAAGCTTAAGAAATGTTTTTACATGATTAGAGTTGTATTTCTTGTAGTTTCATTTTGTATACTTGCCACACTCAGTGTATATGGGCAAAAATCTAGAATGCACTTTGTTTTTTGTGTAGAGTTCCTCATCCGTATCCATATCATGTAGTAGGATATTGGATCTGATGTAAGTGCCCCTTCTTGCAATCCATATTAATATCTGCCAGCAGGAGAAAATCATGATGTGGCGTTGATATAGGAAGTGCTTGTACAAAATGGGAACAGTGAAATAAATTCACCATATGATCCTCATGAGGAGTGTATGGTTTGATTAAGTTCTGTTCTGCCTGGGTGTGTCAATTTTCAAGCATAGGCTGCCTTATAAAGAGAATTGATTTTTCTAATATAACCTTGTCAAGCGTCATTGGACTCCGATGTAGATTTTTTCTAGCATTGCTACTGGAGCTAGTATGCTTTGTCCTTGAGATGTGCTACATGCAAAGTAGGTCTTCTAGTCAAACTACTGCCAATTTTGATTACCTTTTGCATTATTTGCTTTTCAACATTGCGAACTAGACTGGATGAAATGGAGAAGCAAGGCAGGGGGCTTCAGCTTCTCAAGGCAGACAGAAATTTAGCCCACATCTGATGTATTTTTGGCCTGAATACATGAGTCAAGAAATTTATTCTGTTGGGTAATTTAAGCTCATTCAGTCTGCCTTTTTTTTACTCTTTTAAAAAGTCTCCTATATGCAAACATCCCTGGAGATCTGAGGGAGGGGTTGTTTAGCTATCATCGAGTTGAATGTCATCCTTCTGATTAGAGAAACAGAAATTCCCTGGGCAAGAAATTCCTTTCCTTGGTTGCCATCATCAATAATGCCTCCAGCCTCTATTTGTAATGGCAGGCTGGAACGGAAGAAGCTGTTACAACCCCAGGGAACTCTGTGATTGTTTCACAACAGGAAGTAAGATGCGTGTAGCTGTGGAATTGGATTGTTTTAGCTCCTGCTGGGTGAGACCTGTGTGTCAAACACATTAGTTGGGATGTCTAAAGCCTAAGGACTGAGAGAGAAGTGATAGTGCATGGTCTGGGATGGCACCCTGGGGTTCCTGACAGCCTTATTCCTCCTTATCCCAGCAGTGTTCAGCAGTTGCATCCTCAAGTGCTCCATTTGCATAAGAATGACAGGATGCAATTGGACAAATGAAGATTAATAAGAGGGTGCGATGTCAGTGTCGTATATTGTCCCTAGATTGATGGTGCTCCATGATGCATTCGTGCTGAGGAGCTCCACTCTAGCATGAAGCAGAAACCAGTGAAACTATAGTCAATGAAAGGTGCAATGTCTGTTTAGATCTGCTCATGTTTAAGCAACCAAACAAAGCCTGTTCGTTGTGTCACAAGATCTGAAAATAAATAGGGCAAAATGTGTTCTTGCATAAAGGACAATCGCTGCGTGTTCACATGAGATGTTTGGTACTTCAAACCCATAAATGATGGTTCTGTGTTCATCCTTGAATAGTCTACATAAGCAGGAAAAAAGTCAAATAGTCATGCTTGACACATTCCCCATGAAAGTAGTTGTTTAACTCAGTTCTCCTATTGAAACACTGATGCTGAAGCACAGTCTTCCTCAGAGTCTGGTTGGGAATTGGAAGATTTTCTCATTCTGCTTGTGTTTTTGAGGTGGATACAATACAGACACTGTACCACTAGATGGAACCAGGTGAATCAACTTCTAGTGCCACTTTTTAAAAAACTTTCATCCTGGGATTTTTTTAAAAAAATTCTGTATCAATAACAAATTAGTTACCTAACACAGAATGTTGGTATTTTCAAACATGCCCTTTATTCCTTCTGTTCTAGAATCAAACTATTATTTCTTGTGGTTTCTAGGATGCAATTTATAGGTAGGAAATGAAAAGTCTGTTTGATGCAACTTGGAATCGATTCTTCAGTGCACTGGGTTTTTTTTAATGGTGTGTGGTTATTAGTTTAGTTTAATGTTAATTAAAAGTAGTTTGGTTTTGATATAAAAAATAAAGTGATTTGGCAGAATCAGTAACAAGATTTTAAGTTCTAGCCTCAAGCAAAAGAAAAAAACCTCAATCCTTCCTCTTGAGAAACATCAAAGTTTTGCTCTTCTGGAGGATTATGAAAGAGATTCAAATATGCAAGGTTTATGGGTGTACTCATAAAGGGGGAGAAAAATCTTACATGTGAGTTATCATCTGGCAACATGTTGAGAGCCTCATAAATCAACTAATCTAAAGTTGTAAACATGTTCCCCGTTTGGTTTGTCTGGAACAAATTGTGGTTATTGTTTTGTCCTTGTATTCTTTATATATTTCTAACCATGTTCTCAATTTTCCACCTGAGTGGTGAATGCAGAGTTAACAGCTTTTGGTTGCAGGACTATACTATCATAAGTTTTACAAAGACTGTGATGAAAACATAAATGGTCCTGTTAGTTGCCTTCAATGACTACAGGAAGTTAAATTCAAATTTAGAGTAGATCCATGGAAAGAAATAGGACTTTTTAGTAATAATTAACTTAAATCCAATTTATTTAAATGGGTATTTTCTAGATAGGATTAACATTGGATTTAGTCCTGAGCTAAGAGCAAGTAGCTCCAGCATGGTGTAATGGCTGAGTGTTGAATTATGACCCTGGAGACCAGGGTTCATCTCCCTGCTTGGGCATGGAAACCCTCAAGGACGAGTGACATTCTCACATTTCAGATAACTGAATAAATCTTGCCAAGAAAACCCAGTGATTTGGTTTCCTAAGGACTGCAATAAGTTGGAAATAATTTGAAGATGCACAACAACTACAACAGCAAGTAATCTCACATATGCTTTGCAAGTAGATGATCTGTGGAAAAATGTTCTCTTACTCCTTTATTTATTTATTTATTTATTTATTTATTCATTCATTCATTCATTCATGGGAGTTACTAGCAGGAGAAGAGAGTCAAAAATATACCATTGCCCTAAGTTCTGAAATAAAAATGGGTCCCAAGAGGGAGAGTATAAGGTAGGTAAAGGTAAAGGTTTTCCCCTGACATGAAGTCCAGTCGTATCCGACTCTGGGTGTGGTGCTCATCTCCATTTCTAAGCCGAAGAGCTGGTGTTGTCCATAGACACCTCCAAGTTCATGTGGCCACATGACTGCATGGAGCGCCGTTACCTTTCTGCTGTAATTGATCTACTCACATTTGCATGTTTTCAAACTGCTAGGTTGGCAGAAACTGGGGCTGACAGTGGAAGCTCATGCTGCTTCCCAGATTCGAATCTGTGACCTTTCAGTCAACAAGCTCAACAGCTCAGTGCTTTAACCCAATAATAATGATGATGATGATGATGATGATGATGATCGTAACAAATCGCGGTCTGTAAACTGGAAAAGGCTACCTTATGAGGATTTAAAGATCGAACTGAAAGACTCTGGCACAAGCCAGTAAAGGTGGTTCCAGTGGTGATCGGCACCGGGTGCAGTGCCTAAAGACCTTGGCCTGCACTTAAACACAACCAGCGCTGACAAAATTACCATCTTCCAGCTGCAGAAGGCCACCTTACTGGGATCGGCACACATTATTTGCCGTTACATCACACAGTCCTAGATACTTGGGAAGTGTCCGACGTGTGATCCAATGCAACAGCCAGCAGAGTGATCTTATCTGCTGTGGACTCTTCTTGTTGTGCTCCAAATAATAATACTTATTTGAGAACATCTCTGATGAAGATTTCTAGAGGACCTGAAAGTTTCCCCTGTTTTGTGAAATGTTGGTAGGTTCTAATGAAGTTATTACTTGTGGGTTTTGTTTTTATTCATAGAATCATAGAATCATAGAGTTGGACGAGACCTCATGGGGCACCCAGTCTAACGCCCTGCCAAGAAGCAGGAATATTGTATTCAAAGCACCCCTGACAGATGGCCATCCAGCCTCTGTTTAAAAGCTTCCAAAGAAGGAGCCTCCACCACACTCCGGGGCAGAGAGTTCCACTGCTGAACGGCTCTCACAGTCAGGAAGTTCTTCCTAATGTTCAGATGGAATCTTCTTTCTTGTAGTTTGAAGCCATTGTTCCGTGTCCTAATCTCCAGGGCAGCAGAAAACAAGCTTACTCCCTCCTCCTTGTGACTTCCTCTCACATATTTATACATGGCTATCATGTCTCCCCTCAGCCTTCTCTTCTTCAGGCTAAATATGCCCAGCTCTTTCATGGATCATTGCAGCTACCCTTTCTATTCTGCTTTAATAATGCACAAGAAACTTCAACAGCACGCAATATGTTCCACCGAACATCAAAGCGGCATACTATTTTCCAAATACAACTTTCAGTCTCGATTTGTGTTTAATTATGATTCATAATTCATAGCGATAGATTTGTGGGGGCTCTTTTTAGCTTTCTCTCTTTTAATTCACATGGTGTTATGCACCTGCTTTGAAGATAGGCCCATTAACTATATGTGACAGTTGTGTTTCTGACCCAATAGCTCCAGCTCGTCATTGTCATGCTCTACTTGACTCATGATGCACGTTCAGTGCTGTGGGTAACAATACAATGTTAGGGCTTGAGTACATCTGTCTGTTCCCTAGTGTTGACCTCAATAAACTTCTTTTCTGATGTATTTTGAAGTATATTTGTGAATTCAAAATAGAGGAAGTTATTCTAAGCTGTGTTGTGTGTGTCACAATTTCCAGTGTCTCACTTCTTCCAAGTGTTGTCATTGTTTATTTTAAAAGTAGGAGTATCTATTGTGAATTGTATAAAAGTAAAACGCCCATGCTTACTAGAGCAAATTATGCCTACTAATCCCTAGAAATGTAGTCAGCTGTTAGCCATACTTCCTTCATCACATCAAA